GGAAGGAATAAAAATACATTACCAGTTCACATATTTGAGTTTCTTCTGGTCTTCCAGAAACCCTGAAAAGAAAGCACTAACATACCTTACTCTGCCAATGATGTTACACACATGATGAAAGAAATGAGGGGAAGAGTGATGTGATCAGTTATGCAAGTTTAAAGAAGTAAAGAAGCCTTAAAACCAAACCATCACACGTCTCCCTAAGAAAACAGACTGGGTGTTTACCCTTAAGGTAAACTTAAGGGTCGCCCTCTCAGGTGATGTGACCCTCTGTACACGAAGCCTAGAGTGCTCAGGCATTACAACTGATCAATAAAAATTTTGAAATAAAATCCAGTGTTAATCAGAAGATGAGGTCTCAAAAGGAATTAAAAGAATCTAGCTGCAAGGGTAGTTTGTAAAAAAGTTAACCAGAGACAGAGACTACTTCTAGTGCTAAATATTGGCCTGTGAAGTGGGAAAAAGACACAAACTAAAGGAAAACCAGCATCAGTTAACCAGTGTTGGGACTGCAATTCTTCAAAGAAACCAATGTGAAAGCTGGGCTTTAAGCTAAGCTCAATTCTTTCAAAAAGATGCAGTCTTGTGTGGGACTGAGCATTACTGTACAGGGTGACACGCAGGACATTCCCTCCAGCAGGCCTTCCACCCCAATCCACACAGGCCAGAAGGCTCCCAGGAGGAACACGAACAACAAACCTTAACACCGCCTGCCTGCTCCTAAAGGCTTTACAGCAGCACCACAGCTCACAGAGCATAGGGACTAAGCAGCTCTTTCCTCAGAGGTTTACACGTGGGTACAAAAGGAAGCTGGTCATTTTGACAGACGGGCATCCCCCCGAGGAGGGAATGGCTCTCGTCACACAGATCTTCGCTACTCTATTTTCATACCCTTTCCGAGATCAGAAGAGAGCACGGAGTAAACAGTGGGAAAGCAAAGCTGGAACCCTGACAAGCCAAGAGATCGGCCTGGCATCAAAATGAGAGCCCGCCTCGCACTCCTCCGCTTCCCCACTCCCCACGGCAGCCTCCGGCCTGCACCACAACAGTTTACATTTGTTGCAAGAAAATCCGAGCTGAGATTTCCTGCTTTCGAGATTCCCGGCTCACGAGCGACAGCGAGCCATGCGGCTGCAACTCCCCTCCTTCCCTCGGGAGGCCAGGGGAAGCGTGAGAGGGAGCGGCGGCCGCCCGGCCGGCCCCGGGCTGAGCGGGGCTCCTCGGATGTGACTCACTTGTCATAGAACGGGTGCTCCTCGCCGAACTCCCGCAGGTGCTTCTTCTGCTTCTTGCTCAGGCTGCGCAGCAGCTCCCGCCCGGCTCGCCGCTTGCCCATCCCGGCCCGGCCCGGTCCGCTCCACGTGGGTGCCCGCAGCCCGGCGCCGCCCGGTGATGCCAGGGAGGGCGTCGCACCCTGGGAAGGCGGGGCCGCGGGCGGCTGAAGGAGAGGCGGAGGGGGGTGAGCTCAGGGGCCGAGCCTCGCTATTGCCGGCGGCGGCTACCGTGCCGTGCGGGGAGCGGGCGCGCGTTTGTTCCTGCGATCCGCGCTGGGGAACACAAAGTGCCGGCAGGGAACGCTTGTCCCAGACTGTGTCCAAATTCAACCCCGTCCCGACGCTGCGGCCCGCCGCGACCCCGAGCTTGGTGCGGGCCGTGACGCGTTTCCGCTGCCGGAGCCGCGGGGAGGTCGGCGCGCAGCGTGCTGGCAGCGGGGCGCGCAGCCCGGCGCTGCTCTCGGGCTGACGGAGCGCAGGTAGACACTGCTGGAGCTACAGCGCTTTCTCCAACTGACCCATGATTTAGCTTTGCTAAAAGCTACACAGATTCTGGGGAAACTTCTACAATAAGGCTAGAGGAAGAGACCCAACACAAGTCCTTAATACTCAGGCTTCCTTATTCTAAAAGCAATCAAAAGCTCCAAATGAAACCCCACTAAACTCTGGCTCTTCTGACATGTCACTGCTGAATCTTACTGAGTGCTGCCGAAGTGTGCTTTACTGGATATGGACACGGTTTTTCAGAAACAGCCATCAATTGTGTCAAATACAGTAAATTAATTCTCAGTTCTTTGTATTAGAAATTCTTTATATCCCCGTGTTTCGGTATGACCTGGCTGAAACTCCTCTAATCTTCAGTAACACAGGGCTATTAATGGTGTTGTAATTTGCGAAGCACACACAATAGGTTTCAGTTTGTCTCTGGGAGTACAAGAACTCCCAGTACAAGTGAGACCAACATAATTCCAAATAGGATGGAGGCATGCAATATTTTAGGGAAAAAGAGTTTAGCATTTGGATTGTAGCTTCTGGACTACCCTGACCTGAGGGTACCCATGGATTTGACTGAATCAAGCAAGCACATTAACTGCACTTCAGTTACACAGAAGCCTCCGGGAGTTATTCCTGGTGTTATTAATCCCATGGTCAGTCCCTTCAATAAACCCCTCTGGCCTGGGGGAAATTGTCTCAATCCAAACCATTCCACCGACCTGCTTTACACAGTACCCTGCAGCACACAGACAGCAGTAGCAGCAGTTGGCTGTGCCCAGCAGCAGAAATTCACTTGGCAGGTTCTGTCAAAGCTAACATGTTATGTAACAACACTAAAATAAATTATTTCCAGCTAGCAGGGCTTTTTGGTGAAGTTGGCAGTCATGCTCCGTAAGAGGAAAAATATTGCCAATCAATCCCACTTCTGTCAGAAACGTGAAAAAGGCAGTATATTCTTATGTTGCAAAATTGTTTCTTGTTGACTTACAATTTGGCACTGGGAGACAGCAGGAAGAGCAGGAGTCGGTTCAGAGCTGAATCAGGAGAGCTCAGGAACTCTTTGGGGATTGCATTCTTGTGTGTTAAAAAGGGAAAACTATAGGGCCTTGGTGACAGTAAGGCTGTAGCTCAGACTCCAGTGTTGTTTGTGCACTCTTTCCAAAATTCTGCCTATGGTATTTCACACTACTTTGTGGAATTTCAGTCTGCTTTTTAATATTGCCGTATGAATTAAAAATGCATGGATCTCATTATTTTGTGATGTTCTGAATGCCAGCACTTGCTTCTGTGGCCACTTATTCGCACTTCTTTTCACCACAACGGGGAAGTTTTTCTAGCAGTTTAGAAGATTGGGTCCTGTAGCTTGAAGTCTATCCTCACCTCCTTCTCTCCATCCTGACGTCAATTTAATCATTGAAAACAATGATATTCCTGGAATTGTTTCCTCTTTCTGCTCATCTCCTTCCTCCCTCCTCCCCATGCTTGTGGGAGAAGGATCCTACTTGGGCAGTGTTTGGTGTTTAGGATTAAATGTTGTGGTGCCATTGATGTGTGTCTTAGAAGATGTTTTTCCCAGGAATTTTTCCCATCAGCTTCTCTGTCATGAGGCATGGGCAGTAAAGCAGCACTGATGCTAATATCCCACAGACCAGTGAACACATAATTACTGTTATATGACAATCTCTTTCTTAAATTAGATCTCTCCACTTGAAAATTTTAAATAAAATTTTTTAAATGAACTTGTAAAATCACCTTGGAGCTCTTAGTTGCTAACACGGTAACATGTCACCAGCAATGTTATTTTTACAGATTTCTTAAGCACCAGCATCTCTGATTCCAGCAATATTGGAAAGAAAAGGAAGAAAGGAGAAAAGCTTGTATTATTTGAAATCTGTTCTGCTGACCCCATTCTGTCAGCAGCCACAACTAAACCCTGTCAGCAGAAATGTGCTGCTGCTACCTGTGTATCTCCAGCACTTTTATCTGCATGACGTTCCAAAGACAGATGGTTTATAAAAGCCACTTCCTTTATTTTAGAGAACTCTATAATATGAACAGAACAGATTCCTCCTTGTTGGCTTACTGCTTTCACACTTCTGTCTTGCAGCAACTCGCTTTCATGCCTTTCTTATACCTGCTTTTCCACCTCAGTTTTGCCCTTTCCCTTGTGAGATTTTTTCATTTCAGTGTACGTTTTTAATTGAAACAAATGTGTTGATCACACACTTTCTATCCAAATTCATGGAGAGCTGAAATTTCAAATAATTTTGCCCTAAGTTTCTTAGGCAGTGTGAATTACACAATGTATATAGCTTATAAAGTTGAATGCTGATTATTTATACTGTATGCACTTCTGTGGATATAATGAAAAGAAAGATGTGTAAGGTGCAACACTGGCTAGCAGCAAAGAGAAAGGCAAGAAAGGAGTTCATGTCTTCCCTTTTCTACATCACTCCTTTCATATTCAAACTGGAATTCTAGCAAGAACACATTCCTGTGAAGCACACAGCTCTGCTGTGATGCATGGAACATCCCATGTGGCATACATGGCCTTTGTTTAAGGGAGTGAAATTACTGATCCTGATAATTTTGCTATATGGATGGAAAAGTGGGCACTTCAGACAGGGATCGCTTAAACTTTTCATGCCTGACTCCTAAGAACACAATAGAGCATGCTCAAACTCTGATGTCTATAAATAGTATGAAGCACGGGGTATTTATTGCAACTACAATTTTTCTGACTGAAAAATCAGAGGAGTTGGTCAGTAGGAAGGAAGATTACTTGAGAGAAAACCTAAAGCAATGGTGGGAGTGGTGCTGTTGCCACTCGCTAAGAAATGTGGCAGGAAGCAAAAATGGAGAAATGCGGTATAAGTAGGAGAAAGGAAGATGGGAAATAGTTTATCCAACAAACCAGTTTATCCAAAATTGATAAATTGATACCAGTCTGGCATCCATATTATTAAGCATGACACAAACATGGATTTGCAAGAATTTCAATTCAGAAGCCATCTAGTATCAAAAAGAGACGGTGAATTTATATTTATGTATATATACACACACTTTTACATATATAAGTAAAAATAAACTTTACCTTTCTACAAACTTATTATAAATTACCACAGTCACTGATCACAGAACACAGTAAAACGTCTTCTCTTTACAGCAGTTCAGTCTACGTGTACTGGAGTTATGAGCAAAAATAACTTGATGAAACAAGAGTTCATGTAATTTCTTTATAAGAGAACCTTTATTTAACAATGGACTGTCTCAGCAAATGAGGTTGATAGGAGCAATGAATTTCAGTACTAATGGAGCCAAGTACACGGTGTGTTCATGACTTTACTTCAGTTTCTTCTGCTTGAGGTAATGTATCCCAAACAGGTTTCTGAATGTGTTCTGGTATTTTCTCTATCTTAATCTAAAAGGAAAGAAAAACAACCACTTACTGTACCAACCAGCTACCATCTAATACTTTGCTTTATTTGTTCCGGTTTGAGACATGAATCAGATTTAAGATGCCACCTAGTGGCACTTCCAAGCAATACATCCTCTTTACCACGCAGTATTTTGGAAAATCTTCCTATCAAACTACACCCATTTTCTCTGCTGACTTTCTAAAGGCTTCAGCAGTTACTGGTACTTGCATCAGGACTCACAACAGTTAATAATGTGGGCTGGAAACTGACCTTTTTCACTTCCATGGCAACCCCTTCAGGTAAGTTTCGTTGCACGTACTCCAAGTAAACTGCAGCAGTACTGCTTGTTAGGTACTTCAACTAAAACAGAAAGAATTTGTTTTAATGAACCACTATTAATAATACTTCAAACAGAATTTAAAAAAACTTGCCCTGGCTTCTTCAGCCCTTGCTGTGGGGACCAAACATCTTAAAGGAAGCCAACTTCCATAACATTCTGAACAGAAGCAGTTCATCTGTACTCAACTCTCGTGCAAGTGTAACGTAGTTACTTCACTCTACAGAACTGCACATGCTGCCTGGGAGCACATGCACTGATTATGATGGAAGTGGTGGATCTTAACACTGCAGGTATCAGATGAAATTAATTGCAGGTTATACAAGAATCACCAGCTTTTCTATACTCCCAAAGTTCAAGCCTGTTATAAATCCTGCAACTCCACAGTTCCACTGAAACACTGATTTTTTAAATTTCTCCTGGTTCCACTGAATTACTGATCCTTTAGGTTTTCCTGGAAGGCAAAAACAGGACTTATGGTCTGCAGGCAGCCACTCGTACTGCACTCGTGTCAGGGAACTTTAAAGTCCTATTTTGCTAAGCACGGTGCAAATACACAGTAAGACACCCAGGAACCACAAAATGCTGGAAGTAAACCTTTCTTCTAAGAAAGTCAACCACAGCTGCATTCTAAACCATTCAGATGTCTGTGTCATCAGCCACAGAGCTGGTGGTTTTTCTATGCTTCCTATTTGCTACATGCAGTTTTAGTTTGCCACATGATGCTGCACAGGACAAAAGTATGTCTGCTCAAAAACATCAGACCAATTCACAGACAACAGAACCCTTAGTGACTGACAATGCCAATGATTTAGCTGCATCTTCCTCCCTTCCTGAGAAAACCCTCATCCCAATGAGTTTTGGAAACCAAGAGCATAACACACATCAATTCTACCTTACTTTCTTTAGCCATTTTTTCAGCTCTTAAGATGATGGTAAAAATAAAAAACTTTCTGGTCCAAAAATGATGTAGGCTGTGCATTCAGAATAACTCGTGTTGTGTTTTATGTAACTAGGTCAGCTGTTTTCCAATATTCTCCTGCATTCTCCTCCCCAAAACATTTTCATTTGTGCATTAGCATGTAGTAATATCTTTGAACTGTGCACCTAGAACAATTTTGTTCCCTTCTTTCTTACCTCTAAACACATGTAATGTGTTCTCATTTCATACTGAACTCTGTGCTTCTTGTAAATGTGTACAGATTTTAGAAGTGTAAATCGCTCTATCGTCTTTGGGGGTTTATCTCTGAGCAAAGAAGAAAAAAAATTTCATGTTACATAAAGGATGATAATACAAGTTTATTTGAAAGATTATGCTGAAATCTCTGTTCTTATTTGACATTTAGAAGATCTACAAGGAAATATCAAACACTGGTACAGTTTGTTATTAACTCACATGGGCATGGTTAACATTCGGGTATTAACCAGCACTGGGTCAGGGAAGCTACAGCACTGACAGCTGTACTGAAAGTACTGTCAGTATCCCTCCTGAAGATAAAAAGCACTTCCACTATGGCAGTGCTGAGTGCAGATCTGCTGCTGCTTTCTCATCACTGTCCTGCCATCAAAGAAGTGTTAGGTCTATAATCTGAGAAAAAAACGTCAGATTACAGCCATTTCTTATAAAAAGAAAATAAATACTTCTCCACAGAGGACCTGAATTACAGTACATAACAGAAGAAGCATCTCACTCCATATCACTCTGCACATCAGTTACTTACACTTTTTCAACAGAGATGCCAAGTTCTTTAGCTGCAAGCACTGCAAAATATTCATAGCTGTCCAACACAGCTTTATCGTGGCCTTTAACTAAAATGGACAATCTCTTGTACAGTGTTTCTGGCTCATCTGAAAGAGAGACCTGCATTTTTGAAGAAAGGACAAGAGTTACCACACCACGTTCTCCTTAATTAATGCATGCACTGTGTATTTCCTTTGCCTGTATGCCCCATTTGTAAAAGAGAAAAAACACCCCACAAACCTGTTAAGCTGCTTATTTTAATTTATCTCACAGAGCCTGCCTGTATTACCTTGACTGACAGGTCTCACTCTACCAGGGAAGGCAAAGTGTGAAGAGACAGCTAACTTCTGAACATTTAGGTAAAAATTCTTCATCCAAAAAAGGAATGCCAGATAGATATAAGGAGGATGACACTAGCAACGGCAAGAACAAAACTCATTGTTGAACCAAGTCTGGAGCACTATTTGTATTTTGTAGAGCAGTGAGCAAACACCCGAGAGTTTGTTTGGGTATGGAAATTAAATAGACCACTACGGACAGCAACCAGAATTCTCACTTTACTAAGCTCTAAGACTACTTTAAATACAGTAGTCTTCCCCAGGTGTATTATCCTTCATGTTTGTACAAGTGCAAGTTTATGACTTTCAGTTAGGGCTTCAATTTCTGATGGTCTGGGCTTGCTGATCAACTGGAAGAGCCTTAATGAGTGCACAAGTGCTGATTTTCCCAGAGGTTCACTCCTAGGCAGTTTAGCACACTAAATCCAGCATGTACCAGCCACAGCAGGAAGGCTGGATCAGCACTGTAGATCTAATACTGCCTGTCAGACGTTTCTGATGCCCTTGTCAAAAGGCTGCTAAGCTGCCACAGGCATTGAACTGAATACAGCCGAGAAGCTGGTATTTCATAGAGTTACAGCTGCACAGAAAAACGAGAAAGTTACTGAGAGGGAACTGTGAGCTACAGAAATCTTGTTGGGAAAAAAAACAACCCACACCAAAACAGAAGATCTCAAATACCAATCTAAATTATTTCTTTCTCTATGATAAATTTGCCATCACTATGACAGACCTTCAAAAAGCTGCAAGAGAAGAATTTATGTTTTTCCAGACGTAATTTTTATTACTAAGAAAAGTTCTAAAATACCATGTTAGAGAACACTCACCAAAGGATTAGTCTTAGGCTCCCGTGTATCACCATGGGATCCAACCAGCCGTGCTCCCGTCAAGGTGGAGCTCCTAGAAATACAGTCATGGGAAAAGCATAAAAGAAGTTGTTAAAGTTGGATTTTATTTTTTCAGGGGCTATGGAGGAGCAGTGGAAGGAGAAGGGGCTGTTACACTTACGGAAGAAAATACTGCTTTTGCATAATTCTGCTTGCGTAACTGACAGGAAAAGCTGATCCCTGCATAAAACAGTAAGTTATGGTGATTTTCCCCAAACCAGAAAGCAGCCAGTTAGTACAGATGTATTAAAGATTACTTTTTTGCACACCAAAGCACAGCACATTCCTAGGCACTGATCTGACAAACTACGAAGTTTGCTCCGTTGGAAAACACAGGAAAACAGGAGCATGGAAATGTATTTTAGTATACAATAGCACCTAAAAAAAGAAGCACGTTAAGGGCACAGTAACAGTATGCACTTACTACTGAGGCACCTAAATAGCAATCACAAGCATATTTTTAACAGAAAAATGTATTTTTGTGGCATCAGAAGCCATTTCTGTACACAATAATATTTTATCTTTAGTTTTACTTTCATGGTACAACATATATAAGTTTTGTCAAGTGACAGCATAAGCAGGACTTTAAAAAGCAGGACTTTAAAAAGCAATTGAAAGCAGTATCATATAAATGCAAAAATTTAGTCTGTGAATTTAACTGGAAATTTACTGATTTTTTTAAGAAAAAAGTTCCCTGTGATTTTGAACACTTGTTGTTTTGAAGAGATCATTTAAATATAAATACTTCTTTCAAGCCAGTGAACCACGTTTAAAAGATAACATAATTTTCTGTGTTAAAAAAGGAATGCAGTTGTTAATCATGTAACATTACTATCTTTCATACTAGAATAACTGTTCCCTTCTGAACATTTTGTGGCTTCTAGCTTCCTTCCACTAATTCTTAATTTGGCAAAGTTATAGACTACTTGGGGGAGAAGGAACTTTTGCTTAACAGAACCTCAGGGCTGCAGCAAAATGCTGAAGCCAAGTTAGTTACATATCTTGCCCCTTGATGCTCCTTTTCGACATATGCTGGAGTCATAGCTTTAAGAGAGAAGACAGATATCCCACCCAAGAGTTATACAGGTGACTGTCTAATCAAATCATCAGAAAACAGCCAGACCTCACACTTTTTCAGAGAATCTTACTGTAGTTGCCTGTGGATATGAATAACTGACTCTATGATGCTATTAGGCTCCAAACCTTTTCCACTATGCATCATACATTCATTACACACCAGCAGTGAGCAAAACTGTTTTCTGAAGTAATTGTGCCTCAGTCGCAATTTATCCACAAATGCTGCTTCCCATAAAGAAGATGTCTGCAGGAAGAGGCAGTGGAGATTTCTGTTTACAAAGCTGACTATGGTACAAATGCCTCCCCCTAAGCAAACCTTTCCAATCCAGATCTTCACAGAGGCACTACTGTTACATTCTTTAAGCGCATAACAAAATAGGCAATTTTAGCAGCGCTGAATATTTGTCACTGTAGTTGATAATCATTCAGGTTTCAAAGTTTATGCTGGTAACTACCTGAGCCTCAATAGCTAAAAGCGGTGAAATACAGCTAGTAATTGTCTAATGACATCTAATAAAAGAGAGGGACAAGAGCACATAATGACAGGAGAAGAGGGAATGGCTTCAAACTGAAAGAGGGTAGGGGTAGACTAGAGATTAGAAAACAATTCTTGACTGGGAGAGTAGTGAGGAACTGGAAGAGGCTACTCAGAGAAGCTGAGGATGACCCATCCCTGGGAGTGTTCAAGGCCAGGATGGATGGAGCTCTGAGCAACCTGATCTAGCAGAAGGTGTCCCTGCACATGGCAGGGGGTTGGAAATAGATGGTCATTAAGGTCCCTTCTAATGCAGGCCTACGATTCTATGGCAAAATTATCTTGACATTAGCACCTCAAGTCTCTCTTCCTGAAGCCAGAATGCTGCCTTCCTTCCATGCAATGCCAGTATGAAGTACAGTTACAATCACCTGACACCACTTCAGGAAGCAGACAGGCCATGAGCATAAAAGACTATTCAGTGCAGGGCTTAAGCTGTTTGTGCAAGTACATGACACAGAATCTGACACCACATGACAAATGTAAGGCTATTAACTGTAATCACAACTGAATTTCTTACCTGTTTTGGGTTTTTTAATGCATGTGCATATGCAGTCTGTGCTATGTATTCTTTTACTTATAACTACTTGACTTGGTAATAAGGACTTTTTTTTTTGCATTTTTTTACATTTTGCATTTTTTGCATTTGCATGCAAAGATAAATGCACTCATAGTGTATTCTGCTATGTGGTTTTAGGTAGAAAAAATTCAGTCTTAACACAATAAAAATGAATAAAACAAAACCTGATGAAGCAGTAGAGTCCTATCCCACACACTAAGGTCTGCAGCCTTTCCAATATTCTATGACTGTGCATGTTATTCCTACCACATGCCATCTCCCTTTACTAATTAAACAGACCTGCATCAAGTCAAAAGTTTTTGCAACATTAAATTAAAGGTGTTCTATGCAAATTTTGACAAAATGATACACTGAATACTTCAAGTGCTAGATATGACATTCAGTGGGCAGGAATTCGTAAACAGCTTCACTGTCTGATTTAATGATGTGTTCTTGCTAATGGCCATCATAGAAAGTGGAAATGACACTCAAAGACTGCAATATAACAGAACCAAGCCTTTGCACAAAACATAATTATCCCTCTCCTGGTGCAAAATAGCCTTAATTTTGTTTGGTTGAGAGCCTCTGAAGTATGAGGGGGACACAGACGCCTAAAAGGCACGTCCAGAACACACTGCATAGACAGAAGACAGTTTAGGGCTTCAGAAAATCCAATTTTCTCAATTTGAGAGAAAGCAATCACTGTTTTTAAGTCCAAACTAGCAAACATCATCAATGCACTACGCTTTCCCGTTATTTCACGTTGTAACTTCCAAGCTTTGAAACTTTTTAGACTATAAACTCGCCTAGCACACGGCCTCCAAATCCAAGTCACCTATTCTTCACTATCCCTTCCACCCGGACTAACTGCGGGAAAACCACAGAACTGCAGCGAAGAGTTCTGAGGACCCGCCAGGCAATGATGGCGTGCAGAGACACAGTCCCACGCTGTACAGCCCCAGCCCTCCCGGAGCCCGAAGGACAGCATTTGCCACGTCCTCTTTTCCCACTCCCCTCAGGAATGAAGACGACGAGGAAAAGGACGAGAAAGACGCCGAGGAAAAGGACGAGAAGGAGGAGGAGGGACGCGTCCCCTCTCTCGCCACACACCGCACCTGACAGAACCGCCGCCACAGCCACCCCGCCGCCATCTTGGCTCCGCCCCTGCCCGCCCTGCCTCGCCCGGAAGGAGAAGAGCGGCCGCGTCCCGCACCTCCTTCCCCCGCTGGGGCGGCTCTGCCCGCCGGGCAGCGCTCGGGGCTGCGCAGGGGAGCTGGGAGCTCCCACGGTGCCGAAGGAGCCGTACGAGTCCCCAGCTCGGCTCCCCACCCCGGCTGCCGCCTCCCCCGAGCGCTGCCTCAGGGCAGCACCGACGGAGCTGCGGCTCTCCCTCAGCCGCTTCCCGCCAAGGACGGCCGCCGGCCCCCTCAGGCGCTCCCCGTCCTGTTCTCTAGGAATCCTTTGAAAAAAATTAAAACTAAACCAATTACACGAACTCAAGCTTTCAACCTTCTCCCCGCTCGTAGAAAATATTTTTAAAAGGGATACAAGCCCGTTAGAGCAAAACCCATTCGACTGTATTTTACCGATATATAAAAATGACTGGCAATGGCACATAAACCCTTTTCTTTTTATACATACGAATAGCGGTTAATAATACAACACAGCTTCTGCTCGGTACCAAATCTTTACAGGGGGTGGGAAAATAAATAAGTGCTAATTTATGCCACTAAACCATCCTTAAATACACACAATCAGGTAGGCAGTGTAGAGTGAGATTAACCCGAAATTAAGCTGTGTGCAAGTCAAATGCTAACAACGGGAACCTGAAACCAGCATAGATCACAAGCTCTATCAAATGTATATATATTTTTTATTTTGTTACTTCCTCTGCCACCTAAAATTACAGTCTGCTTTTTACACTAAAACGCCTAAAATATTTACACAACCATCTTCTAATAAAATAACAAATATTGAAAATAAGATTTTTCTCATAAAATATGTTTTCTGTATGTACACGTTTTATCAAAGAGGACTAGCTCCAATATTGAATAGTTTTCCATCATCAACCATCAGCAAGAAAGTTTTCTGAAGCAAATCTATGTTCAACTCATGTACAAATAGGCAGATCAGCACATTTAACATCAGCCAATGCAACACTTAATGACGAAGTCAATGTTTGAGGCCTAAAGAATGTACTGCTTAGGAAATGTGCATTTCTTTTTTTTCCTTTATGAATAACTTCTTTGGTTATCATTGTTCTATTCTTGGCTGTACAATAAAACAGCACCCAATTAATGTTACTTAACCAGGCATATGTATGTGTATATATATATTTATAGGTACTAAATTTAGCACAGGTCCTGTGCAACTGTTACTAAAAAGGAGTGTCACTGTAGATTCTTTAATACAGAGCTGCTCTTCAGAATCAAGCCCCTAAATTTCTACTGTATTTCACTCACTTCTTCAAGCAGAACTCTGATTTCAATCATCATTTTGTTTAGACAGTTTTTAAGCACCAGGAACCTGAAAACCTGCCCATTTTCTAGTATAGAGCCTTTCTCACAGAGATCCTTAAAGGTTCAAAATTATACAAGCTAGGGAAAGGAAGAGCAGACTCTGCTGGGCTGTCTCTAACAGAGACTCCTGAAAGCCAACATGTTTTAATGCTCACAAAAGCCTCCACTTTGCAAACCATGAAGACATGCAGTAACTATGAGATTTTTTGTCAGTGGGTCTTGCTGGTAGTACACAGCTGAGCATCCAGTCCGCTGAACCTGGGTTGCATATGGCCCCTGTAAAAGTAAAATGTCACAGCATGGACTGCAACTGCTGGGGGAACATGCCGAGTGGCAGGTTGGGAAAGACTCCTGCTGTCTGATCTCCTGGGTACAATGCTCGAGGGTACAATGAGAACATCACCTCTCATGTGACAGGACTGAAATTCCACCCACTGGTCAAATCCTACTGCAAAAACCTGTGGAAACCCCCAGAACACTAAAACAACCACATACACAGGAACTTCAATAACCAGAAACTGAGAAGTTATTTCCATTCTCCTGAAGGGCTCTTCTTTAACATCAGAACATTTGAACTTAAGCAGAAATTTGAGGTCATTTGGCTTCACATACTTGGCTTCGACAGAGAAGGCACCTCTGTCAGTGGGTCCCACTGGTTCTGAACTTGTGTGGTCCAGTAACTCCTATAAAAGTGCTGTGATTTACCCTCCTTTTGCATAGTTAAACAAGGGTAACAAGTAGAGAATAAGACACACCATCCCTCAGATTCTGGTGAAGATATTAGGAATATGGCAAAAAGAACCCGATAAAATAAAACCCAACCCATAAAAGAAACCCCAAACAAACCTGAAGCCTGGAAGAGCTGAGTAAGTCTTACAAAGTATTTTATAAAGTTAACAATACTCCTCTCTACTGTGCAAAATTCACAAGAAAATCAGTGCTGCTGCCTATGAGAGCTCTGCAATCAGCATTCATATTCTGTAATTAAAGGTCCACTCAACCTAACTCCTTTTCTTCCTTGTTTTATTCTGCAATGTACAATTCTTTCATATCCTGTTTAATCAGAGAACCAAATCTATATTTATATAAATTGTGTCAGGTGTCCAGCATGTAGATCTGAACCTAAGGAAAGAGAAATGGTCATTAAACAGCAACATCAACTCACCTCTGTAGCATGTTTGTAGTAAATAAACAACAGCTGAATTTGATGTAATTAAGAGGACTGAAAATGGCACAAGAATAACACGTTATACCTAGGTGCTGAAAGCATATCAGTCTCTTCTCCAATGGCAAGAATGCTTCCCTGTGTTTCCCTGGTGAGAGAGCAAGCATTGCTTGAGCACACATTCCCCTAAAACCACAGAGATGGCTGTTCCACAGTGTGATTTATTGTCACAGGACAATATTTCCAGTGCAATCTCATTACCAAGGCAGTGTTCCTGATTCAGTGTTCCCATCAGAGGAGGTGAACCACAGAACAATCATTTTCCTTCTTCAATCCTGGAAATTAGGTAATTTTAAAATCAGCAGATCAAAACCCTGCTAAAATGGAATGTCTAAATTGTCCTGTGTAACCAGGACAGAACTGAAAATGAACTGCATATTACTAACTCTTTCACAGTTAAACCAGATTTTTTTTCCTCCATCTCCCTTAACATGGCAGCACAAAGACAAATAATGTGATCATATCTTTAACAGTGATGACTTTTACTCTCTGGAAGATGCTGGAAATGATCCCATATAGACAAAAAAAAAAGTTTCATCAGAAGTGTGTGAAATTTATCCTTGTAATTGGGGTAAAATGAAAATTGGAAGAGTTAAAGACTAAAGATTCTACCAGGACCATCTGGTAGGAACTGATAACAGAACCATAAACTTCTGTAATTAGTGGCCTTGGAAGTTATCAGCAAAAAGAGCTCAGATAAAAACACCTTATAAGAATATTTGTACCAATTATTTATTTCTTCCCCCAAAACACAAATTAATAAAAAAAAAGGGAAAAAAGCAGATTTTTTTTCTAGACCTGGATAAAATAATTATAATTTTCAACAGGTAGTTTACAATCAGTGGGAATAAACAAGCAGTCCAGGTTTCCTGATTAATCCGTTCAGGGTGTGCTCAGTAGCCGTCTATCAAACAACTTTATTTACAACTCAGCATCATCCTGCAGTAGATCTGGATCTTCATCATCCAGTAAGAGGTCAGCATCCATGACTTCATTCTCTTCCATGACATCACCCAGATCCGGAACAACATCATCATCAATGTCACCAACATTTTCAACATGTTTAACCAAGCTCATGTGATCCAGGGGGATCAAACTATGCCCAGCTGGCCCAGTAGTTCTTGCAATAGTGGCTGCCATTTCTGCTGCTACAGCAGCTTTCTGAGCCTTCTGCCTTTGCTGTTCTTCTTGTTGTCTGTGAGTCTTCATATGAGCATTGCGGCTTTTGATTTTGAAAAAGACCCTAAATTTTAAAGGAAAAAAAATCAGATTAAAATGCACTGCTTTTGATGAAATGAGCCAAAAAAGACTCAACAACTTATCAGTACATTTGCTTCCTTGTCCTGAAATAGAAGTCAGTGAAGTCTGCAATGCCATGGTGTGAATTTCAGGGACATATTACCAGATTTATACATCCTCATGGTATCAAAATGGCCTACTCTGATTTTGCCAGAGGTAGTTTGTAGCTCACACACCTGCTTCAGTATCTATGCACATCCTAATTTTCCCTCTATCAGTTTCACAACCATCTTGTACAAAGGGGAGAAAATGAAGGATTACCACGATGGACTAACTCAAGCAGAGAAACACAGAAAAAGTTGCCCACTGTCACATCCAAGTCAGTGATGAAGCAAGAGGCTAGAATGTCAAATGCAGAAATTCTATCAGGTAAGTGGAAAATAGGAATAAATACTGCAGAGGCATCCAAAATGTCATGCAAACCTATCTCTAATGCAAACCTATGTCATGCAAACCTATCTATTCACAGTTTTGGTAAGAGAACATATCATCTAGGGGGAAAACTTCTTCCAAGACAATCAGAGCAAAACCAAAGTTTGTTCACAGCACTGCTGATCTGGAATCTAAACAGGCAAAGGCGATGCTGTCCTTCAGAAAATCACACTTACCTGCCACACTCCTTGCAAGGAAAAATTGTCGTTGGGTCGGTCTCGCCGCTTGTTGTGCTGTGGGCAGGTGAGCTCTTGATGGAGCAGTATCCGCTCTGCGTACCAGATTTCTGCTTCGTGCCAGGAATGGTGCAGCGTGTTTTCGTCACCTGGTTTGTACCTCCGTGAATGCGAGCGTGGCCATTCAGCGCTTGTCGGGAACTGAACACCTGGCAGGGAACGGGGTGGAGGGGAGGGGGGAAAAAAACCCCAAGAAATCACAAGGAAACACTGGAACTGCAGAAAGTAGGATGCCAAATGCGTATCACAACAGAACAAGTGTACATGTCAACATGCACCATCTACTCACTCAAATGGTGCTTGCTTTCAGCAATATCCCACTATAATTGAAGACAGTCACAATAAAACAAAGCAGTGAGCTATCCTATTATTAAAGTTGTGTAACCTAATTGGAGCTGTTGCCATATAGTATTTCTAAATGGTACATCAACTCAGAATTCAGCTTTCAGTACGGATCAAAC